CGGACGCGCACGCCGGGCCTCGCGGGTCGAGCCAGCGCGGCCGCGCGGGGGGGGGGGGGGGAGCCTGTTGTCGCGGCGGCTGAGGCGACTTGTCGCGCTGGGGCTCGCTATCGCTCGGACGTCCATTCCCTGTGTTTTTTTCGGTTTCGTGCGTGGTTTTTTCGCCAAATGATCAAGGATGCTCCTCGATGGTCCTCGCCGAAGGAAAAATGCACACGTCCGAGCGATGCCAAGGGGGCCATAGTCGGCGTCGAGACGACCAGGCCAGGCGCGGCTCCAGTGGACGCTAGGCGTCGATCGCGTCGCGGCGTGGCGGCGAGCTGGGCGCGAGGGCGGGGGCGAGCCCCTCCAGACCTCACCAGGACCTCCCTCCTTGCATCCCTCTTCTCCTGCTCGTCCTGATCGTCCTCTTCCCCCTCCCTCTATCGCTCCCTCGCTCCCTCCCTCCCTCCTCCCTCACGTCATTCTGACCCTCCTCTTCCCACTTCTCTTCCCCCTCCTCCTCCTCGTCCTCCTCAAACTGTTGCTCACACTTCCCCTCCTCCTCCTCCTCCTGCTCCTCCTCCTCGTGCTCCCCGTTCTCCTCCTATCTTCTCCTTCTCCTTCTCCTTCTCCTTCTCCTGATATTCTACCTCATCCTCCTCTTCCTCCCTCTCCTCCTCTTTCTCCTCTTCCTCTTATTCCTCCTCCTCCTCCTCGTCCTTCTTTTCCCGCTTCACGGACTATGGTCGGATGATCGTAGCGCCTTCTTCCTCCTTCTTCTTCTCCTCCTCCTCCTCCTCCTGCTCCTCCTCCACCTCCTCCTCGAGACCGCGGGTGGGGGCATCGAGGACCGACGAGCGAAGTCTGTCGGCGTCTCCGGAGGCCTCCCTGGGGCTTCGGGACATATCCAGGGGAGGAGGGGAGGGGGGAAGGGGAGGGGAGGGGGGGAGGGGAGGGGATAGGGGGAGGGGCGGGGAGGGGAGGAGGGGGGCAAATCCAGGACAGGGGAAGGATCTCCGTCGACAGAGCCCACGCGCATGGATGCTGCAGGCGCGCCACGGCCCTGGCCCTTTCGCGCGCCAGCATGCTCGCCCGCTGGGGAGGGGGAGGGGAGGCAGTCAGGGCAGGCGCCGTCGGACTCCGGTCGGGCATGTCCTCCTGCAGGCGGATTTTGGAAGAAGAATAGAACATAGTCCCCAACTGCGCGAACATAGCCAAATCCATCTATAGTCAAGCAAATCGTCCCCAGACTATTTTTTTTGGACTGTTTTTGAGAATTCCTCCTGTAGAGGGACATGCCCGACTTAATCTCAGACCTGGGCGTCGCCCAGAAGCCACGACGGCCAGCTTGCTCAACGCGCTCTGGGCGTCTCGAGCGGGGCCCCCGGCGTCCGCGGCCGTCGGCAAAAAGCGACGCGGCACGGAGAGCCTGCACCAAGGAGAGAGGTCGAGCTTCCAGGGGTCCGACGTCGCAAAACAGTGCCACGCCGTCCTCGCCCTCGTCCTCGTCCTCGCTTTTGTCCTCGTCCTCGTCGTCCTCAGCGTCGGCTCCAGCTCTAGCGCCAGCGCCAGCGGGCCGGAGTGAATGACGGCGGGCGGATCGCGCCGCATCGCCGATGCACCTGCGACCTGCGCGGCGGAGGTCTGGTTCCGCATCGCGCTGGCGATCGCCGATGCATCGGCGATCGCCGGCGCGATCGGCGGCGTCGGCGCGGAGGCCCGGTGGAGGCCCCCGAAGGCCCTGCAGAGTCCTGCGGATGCGGCGGCCGGCGCTTTCGTCGTCGACGTTGCCGTCGCCAACGTCGTCCTAGTCGCCGTCGTCCTCCTCCTCCTCCTCGTCGGTCGTCGCCGTCGTCGTCGCCGTCGCAGTCGTCAACGTCGCCCCCGTCTTCAATGTCGTCGCCACTTTCGTCAACTTCGTCGCTGTCGTTGTCGTCGTCGTCGTCGTCGTTGTCATCGTCGCCGCCGCCGCCGCCGTCGTCGTCGTCGCCGTCGCCAACTTTGTCGTCGTCGTCGTCGTTGCCGCCGTCAGAATCGCCGTCGTCGTCGCTGTCGTCGCCGTTCATGTCGCAACCGGTGTCGTCAACTAGGGGACCAAGGGGACACATAAATGGACAAACAATCATTTTGCTTCGGGCAGTCCCTACGGCGTTTGTTCCAGAGACTGGTACGGCTTGTTACTGTGGCCAGCCTGAACTCGGCGCGCATGTCACGTTGAACAAGACGCCGCTACTCCATCGCTGCTGCCCTGTACTCTATCACGTTCTCTTCGGGTCTGTTCTGTTCAATTCCAAGATGGTTTACTCCTGTGGCCAACCTTACGTCGGCTCGCATGTTGCGCTTCACAGGCGCCATTCATCGGTCGCTGCTGTATTCTGCTAACTTGTGCTCTGCTTACCTATGTTCACTCCTCCTCCTCCTCCTCCTCCTCCTCTTCCTCCTCTTCCTCTTCCTCCTCCTCCTCCTCCTCGTCCTCCTCCTTCTCCCACATTTTATGTTTACTCATGTTTTTGTCAATTGCACTCTATTGTGTTCTGTTGTGTTCTGGACGGGCCGGCTGGCTTTACGCCGTGACGCCTGTCACGTTTGATGCGTCGTCCACTCTGTCCTTGCTGCGCCCCATTGTTCCTGCGGCCAGTCTGACCTCGGCGCGCACGTCGCGCGTGCTAGGGCGAGGTGAATCGGTCGCTGATGCTTTCTGTTCTGTAATGTTCAGCAATGTTGGATTCTGAACTTTTTGAACCTATTAGATCACATAATTCTGCAAAGTTCTCGTCTCGTACAGTTTATTACAAACTCTACTCATATGTTGTGTTGTGTTGAACACTCTTGTATAATACACTACTCAACAAGATTATGCTATGTTGGATGCTGTTGCCTGTATTGCCATTGTCTGTCATGTTGTTTGTGTTCGGGTCTCTTCTCTCATTCGATATACGAAATTCGACTGACATTCGGATATTGCAATCAGATGTGCGTTGGTTGACTGTTCTCTTGTTCTGGTATTGCACTTTTATCATGATGTTGTGCTCCGCTTATGTTGGGTTTACGCTCGGATTCACACTTCCACTGTTTTGCAGTACGCGACAGGTGTGTGGTGTGATTATTGCATTGGTTTGTTATCGTTCGCTACTCTGCACCACTTGTGTATACTGCTCTCTGTTCAGTGATGTTATATTGCATGTTTTCCTTATTGTGCCATCATAGGCTATGATCTGCTTGGTTATACCACTTCTTGAATTTGTATTCGCCATGTTCTGCCATGCTATCGTCGTTCTCGTAGATGTAGCAGTAATGCGGCAATTATGGTACGTTATGGTATGCTATGTTATGTGTGCTCTCTGTTATGCCTTTTCTGCCAACGTCTGATTTGATTTAGTATGGTATGATGTAATCCGTGTGGTGGAGTTCTTGTTGTGCTATAGTATCTGCCCTGTTATTTTCAATTCTGATCTGTAATATGGTGTTATGTTGTGTTATGCTCATTCGACTGTGCTCTTTCCTGTGCATCTCTGACATTCCTATTCAAGTGTGCTGCATCCTCAGTCCTCAGTCCTGAGAAACCTTAATGTGCCCAGAGCCCAAATTGCCAAATCTCCCGGGCCTGGCGCGGCTTGTCTCCTGACACTTTCGGAGCCAATGGTGCCCTAAGACGGGCCAAGAGGGCCCCGAGAGACACCCAACACGGTCCAAGAGGGCCCCGGGTCGCCGAACGATCGCTCCAAGACGCTTGCGATGGCTCTCGGACTGCCCAAGGCGCCTCTAAGACGCCCCAAGAAGTCTCCAAGAGGCCTTCCAGGAGGGTCTCCAAAGGCCAACATCATTGATGTCCTTAGGTTTTGAAGGCTTTAGCGTTCTCGCCTTGGCGGCTCCCCGACGCTCTCAGACGGCCCTGGAGGCCCCCAAGATCGCCACAAGACGGCCCAAAAGGCCTCCGCGAGGGCCCCCACCCGGCCCAAGAGGCGCCCGAGATGGCCCAAATATCGTCGCCAAGAAGGGGCCCAGACGGGGGACCCGAACGGACACTTCGAGCCCTCCGCCCGAGGGGCCCCCAGGAGTCTCCACGAGGCCCCCCAGGAGGCCCTTCAGGAGGCCCGCAAGGGGACCGCACGAGGCCCCCAAACTGCCCCCAAGAGGCCCCCGACAGCGCTCTGAGGAGGCCGCAAGAAGCATCCCTGAGAACCCAGACCCACAACCCACGCACGGTTTCAGGATGGGCCGAAGGGCACTCGATAGTGCAGTCGTTGCCATGGTGGTACCAGTAGTAGAACAATTATGGTGTGGCCTGTCATGTTCTGGTAGCTGTGCTCAATACTGCCCCGCTCTGTTATGGTTTGAGGCAATATGTGAGCGTGCGTTATGTGTTATGTCAGGTTATGTCATGCTGTGCTCTGTTATCCTATTATATTAATTGGTATGTGGTGTCGTGCTATGCGCTGTTTGCGATCTTATGCGGTAGCCAACTATGTTACGGTATCTGTATGCAAATATGGTAGCTCGTTTCATGGTATACTGTATTCGTTGCCGTAGATGCACCAACCGCACATCAAGTCTTAACATTATATGTTTTTTTTAGTATGAGGTGTTCTGATATCGGATACTCTGGTTTGATCCGTTCTGTCATACTATGAGTTGTCATGTTATGTGATGTTCGATCATGCGATGTTATGTTCTGCTATGCGATGCCATACTATGCTATGCTCTGTTATGCTGTGTTTTGTGATGCCCTGGCCATTCTGTTCTGCTCTGTTAGACCCTGTTATGATACGTTCTGTCGTAATAGGTTTGGTGTTCTTCAAGTGCCACTTTTTGCGGTGTGTTCTTGATGCCGATTCTTCATGGCTCTTTGCTCATGCGTCGTGACATCTGGACGGCGTGACGCCTACCCCTCGGGGCTGCCTGGTACGCAGGGTGTCGTCATTCGTCGAGGACGCGAGGTGGGACACTCAAAGATTCCCAGCATCCTGTGGGGTCTGGCCACCGCGGTACGGCGTCGTCGTTCGTGGAGGACGCGAGGCTGGATACCCAGGGATTCCCAGGATCCTGTGGGAACTGGCGACCGCGGTATGCAGGGAAGGCAGACGGGAGGTCATTCATCAAGACCTAACAGCCCCAACCTGTCAGGTGGGGGACGGCGATTTCGCAAGTTTCTCATATTTCAAGGATGCCTTGTCTCCTCCATTCCCTACGCTTCTCTAAATTCACGAAAACGCTGTTGTTCGTTTTTTTTTTTGTGCGCGTTTGTGCAGATTTGTTGCTCCTGTTCCACGTCGTCGTCGCCGCCGTCAACGTCATCGTCTCGTCGTCGACCTCGCCAGCGTCGTCGTCGACGTCGTCAGCGTTAGCGTCGCCGCCGTTGGCGTCGAGGCGAAGGGCGGCGGTGGCGCGCCTTGGCGGGGCAGCCCCCCTCGAGCTCGCACCGCCCGGCGAAGCCGCTGGGGTAGAACTGCTCCGACCGCAGCGTGGCGCGGCCGAGGCACTCGTCGGGCCTCGCTCTGCAGACACAGGAAACTCAAGGGGCCCTGGGACACACAGGGAAATGCACACAAATCTCAGGATCCCCTAACTTTTCCCGTGTTTTCTGGACTTTCGTCTCTTCCCCCACTTCCCATAAGTTCCTATATTTTCGGGTGAATCGACGACCATTTTGTCTGTGTGTTGTCCCTTTTGAGAAAATTCAAATGCAAATGTTTCTGTGCGTTTGTCATGGGACCCATTTATTGAGTCGCGCGGAGGCGAGTCCAAACTCCCAACGCAGCTCATATCGGCACGCGGACGAGAAGGTCTCAGGCGAAACCATTGTGTTTATGCGCTCGGCGCGTGCAGAGACGGAAAAGGCATTGCAAGAACACCTCGGACACGTCAGGAAACCTCCTGGAAGTCGCTCCGGAAACCCTTCGAGTTTGAGGACATCTGCAGCCAAAACTGCACTTTTGGCCCTGCCCTGGGATCAGCCCGCGCGGAATCTTAGAATTTCCGTCGCCCCGCCATCGTCGTCGCCGACCGCCGTATACCGCCGGCCGCCCCCATCTGGAACCTTGTCCTTCGTTTTCGCCAGCATCGTCAGCGCCCCTCCCATTGCTGTCGCCACCGTCAGCCTCGCCTGCCATCTCCTCACTGCCCTGATCGAACATCGATGGCGTGAACCTTCCCCTGTCTGTGTGGGGAGGAAGATCTCGCCTCTTCTTGCTCGTCCTCCTCCTCCTCCTCCTCCTCCCTCCTCCTCCTCCTCCCTCCTCCTCCTCCTCCTCCTCCTCATCCGCCTCCTTCTCATTGTGTCCTCTTCTGCCCTCCTCGTCCCCGTTCTTGTCCTGGTCCTCGTCGTTCGTCCTCCTCCTGCTTCTTCTTTTCTTCCTCCTATCCTCCATCTCCTCCTTCTGCTGCTGCTGCTTCTCCTCCTCCTCCTCCTCCTCCTCTTCTCCTGGCTCCTCCTCCTCCCCCTCCTCCTCCTCCTCCTCTTCCTCCTCCTCCTCCTGTCCTCCTCTTTCTCCTCGTCGGTGTCGCTGGTGGAGGTGCTGTCACTCAAGACTTCGTGGTCCTCCTCCTCCTGCTCCGCCTCCTCCTCCTCCTCCCCTGGCCCTGGTCGTGGTCCTCCTCCTCCTACTCCTCCTCCTCGTCCTGCTCTCTCGACCTCCACCTTCCGCATTTTCCGCGCGGTAGGGAGCCTCCTCCTCCTCCTCCTCCTCCTCCTCCTCCTCCAGGACCGAGCATTGCTAGAACTCTTGGGGACTCCAAAAGCCTCCGCGGAAGCCTCCGGAGACCTCCGAAACGCTCCTGGAGCCTCAACGGCCTCCAGAGACCCCATGGGGGCCCCCAGGAAGAGAGGGACGCGTTTTCAATACCCTCGTCGACTCTGGGCCTCCCTGGAGGCCCCCGCCGAGTCAGCCGGATCCGCCCGCGAGGCTGCCGCGGGAAGGCTCTCGCTCAACGTCGGTCCTGGGCCCCCTCCCGGGCACCATCGTGGCCCAAGGTTTCGAGCTGCTGCGACCGGCCGACACAGGGAGGCCCCCCCCCTCAGCCCAGAGGTTGGGCGCGTTCTTTCATGGAGGGGTGCGATGCGTGTGGGGGTAGAAACGTGCACCTCTCGTGCCCCTTCAGGGCCCCTGCAGGCCTGCACCTGTCCAATCCCGTTCCGATGGATCGCTCCCCCCCCCCCCTCCGCCCCCTAACTACGTAACGCCCGCAAGGGCCCAGAGAGAGGGGCCCCCAGGGAGGACCGCTCGACTTCTCGAACGCTCGCGCCGAGCGTGGGCTCGCCGCCTACGCAACGCCCCCAAAAGGCCCCTAGAGGGGTCCCCTGGGGAGGGCCGTTCGAATCCTCGAGCGCTCGCGCCATAACCGCCGCCGCCGACACCGCCTCGGGGCTGGGTACGGACCCGCCGTGGGACGACCGGCGGGCTGGCGTTCTGCGAGGCTCTGCGCGCCGGCATGCTGTGGCCACGACTAGCGGTGTTGCTCGCGAACAGCGGAGGACTTGGAGGAGGAGGAGGAGAGGGAGAAGGAGGAGGAGGAAGAGGAGGAGGAGGAGGAGGAGGAGGAGGAGGAGGAGGAGGAGGAGGAGGAGGGGGAGGAGGAGGAGGAGGAGGAGGAGGGAGGGAGGGAAGGAGGAGGAGGAGGAGGTGGAGGAGGACGAGAAGGATGATGATGATGATGATGATGATGATGATGATGATGATGATGATGATGATGATGATGATGATGATGATGATGATGATGATGATGATGATGATGATGTGATGCTGATGATGATGATGATGAGGAGGAGGAGGAGGAAAAGGAGAAGGAGGAGGAGAAGGAGAGGAGGAGGAGGAGGAAGAGGGGAGGAGGAGTAGGAGGTGGAGATGGAGGAGGAGGAGGTGGAGGGGGAGGAGGCAGGAGGAGCAGGGGAGGAGGAGAGGGGAGGAGGAGGAGGGAGGAGAGGAGGAGGAGGAGAGGAGGAGGCAGGAGGAAGAGAGAAGGAGGAGGAGGAGGAGAAGGAGGAGGCAGGAGGCTGAGGAGAAGCAGGAGGAGGGGGGGAGGAGTAGGTGGAAGAGGCAGGAGGGAGGGGGATGAGGACTTGAAGGATGCGGAGAAGGAGGAGGAGGACGAGGCGGAGGAGAAGGAGGAGGTGGTGGAGATGGAGGAGGAGGAGGAGGAGGAGGAGGAGGTGGAGGGGAGGAGGCAGGAGGAGCAGGAGGAGGAGGAGGAGGAGAAGTATGATGATGATGATGATGTGATGATGATGATGATGATGATGATATGATGATGATGATGATGATGATGATGATGCTGCTGATGATGATGATTGATGATGATTGATGATGATTGATGATGATGATGATGACGATGATGATGATGCTGATGATGCTGATGATGATGATGATGTGATGATGAGAGGAGGAGGAGGCATGAGGAGGAGGAGGAGCATGAGGAGGAGGAGGAAGGAGGAGGAGGGAGGAGGAGGAGGAGGCAGGAGGCTGAGGAGAAGGAGGAGGAGGAGGCATGAGGAGGAGGGGGGGAGGAGTAGGTGGAGGAGGCAGGAGGGAGGGGGAGGACTTGGAGGATGAGGAGAGGCTCGGTGGTGCTCTCGAAATAGTTGATCGATGTGTCTCGTCGCCTTCGGAGTCTGCAAGCCGCGCGCGCGGCGGAAGGGGAGGAGCAGGATGCGGCTTGAGCAGGGGCAGGAGCAGGGAGGGGAAGGGGACGGAGCAGGGAGGAGGGACAGGAGGAGGAGGAGGAGGAGGAGGAGGAGGAGGAGGAGGAGGAGGAGGAGGAGGAGGAGGAGGAGGGGGGAGCCATCGCTGGCTATCGTCTGCTCCCAGAGGCCCAGGAGGCACCGACGTAAGTTTCTGCGCCCTTGCTCGCGGCGCCCCCGTGTACTGTGCACGTCGTGCCGATGCGCAGCTTCTGACGAGCATGCAAGGGCGAAAGTAGCCCCGAGCAAAGGGGCGACCATGCGCCACCCGCCTCTGCCCTGCCTGTGGTGGTCGCGTCCTGTCCGCCTCGGTGCTGTGCCCAGGAGGGGGGTGACGAGCAGCAGCACGACAAGCATGAAGTTCACTGCCCGCGAAGGGGGGAAGGGCAGAGGAGAGAGGTGGCGGTGCCCGTCGAAGGAGAACTCTTTGTACCCTGCCGAGGGGGCTCGAATCCCCGCCAGGGGCCACGGACATGGCACCTCCCTTTAAGCATCGGCATCCTCAACTGCCACCTCCGAGGCTCCCGAGACTCCAGCAGCCTGGCGGCACGGCATTCCACCATCCCCTGGCCCAAAAACTCTGCCTCAGCGCGACTCTCGAAGCCGAGCTTGGATGACCGCGGGGGGTGTTAAGGGAATATGGGGGGCTTCAAGCCGATGCCAAGGTGGTTCTATCTTGCCCAAAGCCCAGCCTGGCTCATGAGTGGGTTCCTCATGACCCACGTGCCCCAAGGAGATTTAGCGATCCAGGCTAAGTGGGCCCCGCCCACCTCAAGGAGTGCTGTGTAAAAGGTGAGAGCCGATCAACGGCGACGTCAGGCTCACCATCATGCACACGCCTAAATTCGATGATGATGATGATGATGATGAGGACGAGACCGAGGAGGAATGAGGAGGCGGAGAGTAGGATGAGTGGGAGGAAGGGTATGAAGAAGAAGTACGACCGTGTTTGTGTGTACAGAGGGGGGCAATTGCTGCTGCTGCTGCTGGTGATTGTGATTGTGATGGTGACGATGATGACGATGCTGATGCTGCTGCGGATGCAGCTGCTGCTGATGATGCTGATGATGCTGATGATAATGATACTGCTGATGATGGCGATGACGGTGACGACGCTGATGACGCTGATGCCGCTGATGACGATGCTGCTGCTACTGCTGCTACTGCTGATGATGATGGCGATGCTGAGGCTGATGATGCTGAGATGCTGATGATGCTGATGATGCTGCTGATACTGATGATGATGATGATCGCAATGGTAACTATGATGTTCATGATGCTAATGATGCTGATGATGATGATTACGATGCTGACGGTGACGATGACGAGTATGATGATGATGCTGACGCTTATGATGATGCTGACGATGATGACGACGGCGACGATGCTGACGATGCTGATGCTGTTGGTGTTGGTGATGGCGGTATTACTAATGCTGTTTATGACGATGCTGTCCATGCTGATGTTGATACTGATGATGATGGGACTAATGATGATGTTGCTGCTGATGGTGATAAGATGATAAAAGTCTTGATGATATGGAGGATGCGGATGACGATCCTGATTATTATGTTGCAACTGATGAGGTTGATGCTACTGATGATGATGCTGACCATGATGATGGTGATGATGATGATGATGATGATGATGGTGATGATGATACTGCTGATGATGGCGATGACGGTGACGACGCTGATGACGCTGATGCCGCTGATGACGATGCTGCTGCTACTGCTGCTGCTGATGATGATGATGGCGACGCTGATGCTGATGATGCTGAAACCGATGCTGATGCTGCTGCTGATAATGATGATGATGATCGTAGGGGTAAATCAGATGTTCATGATAATGATGCTGATGACGATTACGATGCTGACGATGTGATATCGAGTATGATGATGGTGATGCTGACGCTTATGATGATGCTTATGATGATGCCGATGGCGATGACGCTGACGATGCTGATGCTGTTGGTGTTGGTGATGGCGGTAATACTAATGCTGATTATGACAATGCTGTTTATGATGATGTTGCTGCTGATGATGATCAGATCATGAAGACCTTGATGATATGGAGGATGCGGATGACGATCCTGATGATTATGCCGCAGCTGATGATGTTGATGCTGCTGCTGCTGCTGATGATGATGATGATGATGGTGATGGTGATGGTGATGGTGATGATGATGATGATGCTGATGATGATGATGATAATGATTATGCCGGGAGGCGGCGGATGATGATGATGATGATGATGATGATGATGATGATGATGATGAGGAGGAGGAGGAGGAGGAGGAGGAGGAGGAGGAGGAGGAGGAGGAGAAGGTGGAGGAGGAGGAAACCACATCCATCAACATCACATCAAGCAATCGAAGCCTTGGAGTCCCGAAACGGTGCGGTGACAGACCGTGCGGTGACCTCGAAATCCCCCAAGACCTCACCGCAGGGTCCGTCACCGCACGGTCTTGGGACCCCGGAGGCCCCTGTCGCCCGAGACATCCTCGGAGAACGACCCGAGTCCCAAAAGCGTGCGGTGACCCCGAATCCCCACCGACTCACCGCACGGTGTGGTCACCACACCGTTTGGGGCCCCCGAGAAGCGGATCGGAATGTACATCGAATCGGGACACATCGGCACGGAGTTGGAATCAATTCGAATCGAATGGGCCGCGCCAGGATACGCAACAGCGCCATTCAAGCATTGGACCACATCGCATCCTCGAAAGATGCAAACCGAATCGGATCAGTCAGGCCGAGATTGATATCGATTCGGATCGGTCGAATCGAGATTAGCCCTGAAGGGAGAGGGGGAGGAAGAGATGAGTACGATGAGTGGGGAGGCGGAGAAGAAGCGGGTAGGAAGAGGAGGTGGGTGAGGATATGCGGGAGGAAAGGAGGAGGGAGGAGGAAGAGGAAGACGAGGAGGAGGAGGACGAGGAGGAGGAGGACGAGGAGGGCGGACGAGGAAGTGGAGGAGGAGGAAGAGGAATATGGATTGGCCTGCCGCCAAAGAGGCAGGCCCGAGAACAGAAGGGGTGCAACACACAGTGCATGCAACAGTCATGGAAGAAAAATAAGCATGCGGGCGAATGCGCCCGAGCATGACGCACATCAGCAATATGACCAATATGGTCCGACAAGGCCGAGCATGCAGCAACAACGTGTGGCCCTTTTCTCCTGTCGCTAACATAGGCATGGCGACACCATCAGCTCAACAATTTCAACATCATAATCAGCAGCAGCATCACCATCATCACCACCATCACCATCACCATCACCACACTTAGCATCATCAGCATCATTATCACTATCACCAGCATCACCACCACCATCACCATTATCAGAATCATTAGCCATAACAATCGTCATCATCTCTACGGGGACGGCCATGCGCTGCGCGCACTAAAGGCGTGGGACGGAGGAGCACGAGGACGAGGACGAGGACGAAGACAACGAAGATGATGATGATGCTGATGATGCTGCTGCTGATGATGATGATGATGATGAGGATGAGGAGAGCGAGGAGGAGGAGGAGGACAAGGACAAGAACACGGAGGAGGAGGAGGAGGACGAGGAGGTGGTGGTTGAGGGCGAGGAGGAGGTGGGCGAGGAGGTGGAGGCGGAGGAGGACGAGGAGGAGGAGGAGGACAAGGAGGAGGAGGAGGGGCAGGAGGAGGACGAGGAGGAGGAGGAGGCGGAGGAGGAAGAGGAGGAGAAGGATGATGAGGAGGAGCGGAGAGGCGGCGCGTCGACGGCCTCCCCGCCGCCCTCGCCCAGACGGCGAACGCCAGGGAGTCCCCCAGGGAGTAGCCGATGACGCGCGACTCGTAGTCCCACGCGGGCTGCGGGGGTGGGGGGCACATCGAAGACATGAGAGGCAGAAGGAATGGCCTAGACGTAAACATTCCGACGGTCCGCGCGGGTTTCTCGGATCGGCGCTGGAGCCTCATGTTTATGTCGTTGTTTGTTCCACGAGATATGGCGAGACTATTGGAGCAGTAGCCGTTGGACAAGGAATGCAGGGTCTGGGAGCCGGTGGCGCACCATCTGAGGCTTGGCCATGGATATCACCGCCGCCCCCTGTCAGATACGGTCAGGAACTTTTGGATAGCGTCGACCCAGCGGCCTCGGCGACACGCTATGCCTTGCGAGCGGAAAGCGTGTCGCTCCGCTCCGCGGGTCGGGGGGATCGGGGAAGCTCGAGACTTTGACGCCTGGAGACCGCGATGTGGATAGCATGTCGCGCCGCAGCGTGGTGGGCCAGGACTGGCGGAAGGACACGCTATCCCCAAATTCCCGACCGTAAGGATGCATCCAGGGTCTGAAGCCTTCCAGGCACATTCCTCAACAAACGCCCCCACCGTATTCGCCCGAGGGGGCCGCAGCGCCGCCAGGGCCTCCCATTGGGGCCTCGCCACCGCGCGACTCCAAGGGTGGTGGAGGTGGTCGTCGTCGTCGTGGTCGTGGTCGTGGTCGTGGTCGTCGTCGTCGTCGTCGTCGTGATCGTAGTCGTGGTGGTGGTGGTGGTGGTCGTCGTCGTCGTGGTCGTGGTCGTGGTCGTGGTCGTCGTCGTCGTCGTCGTCGTCGTCGTCGTGGTCGTGGTCGTGGTCGTGGTCGTGGTCGTCGTCGTCGTCGTCGTCGTCGTCGTCGTCGTCGACGTGGACCTGGACGTCATCGTCGTCGGCGTGGACGTCATCGTCAGCGGCCCCAGCGGCCGCGCGCCGTCGGAGACTTCCCCCTGCGGGCCCACAGCGACGACGCGCCGCGCGCGCCCCCTCGGGCGAGGAAGCTCCGTGGACCCCCCCCCTCTGCAGCGGAAAGGACGCCCGCGACCGGCGCGCGGGGCGCGAACGCTCGACTTACGCATGTGCCCGTCGGCGGCGAGGCAGAGTTGGCTGCACCGGCGAGGGAGCTGGACGGGGGCACCGAACAGCGAAGCGGCCAGCACGCAACGGGGGGAAGAGGGCAGAGCGGGCGGCCGCGGGGGGGGGGAGGAGAAGAAAGGCCACTCAGAGGTGGAAGAGTTCGCATGTGAGTGTGCTGACGTTCGACTGCGCACGAGTCAGCACATATTCGATTCGAATATATGATTTGTTCGATGCGTCGCGTCGTCGTCGTCGTCGTCGTTGTTGTCGTCGTCGTTGTTGTCGTCGTCGTGCTGCAAATCTCCAAAGATATGATTCGTTGTGGCCTCACATCAGGCCTAGGGGCCAGCAAAAACGGATCCGGGCCACAAGACTACCCCTGGGGAAGGGGCCGGGGCCTCTGTGCCGCGGGCTGAAAAACCACATCGGGGGATGTCAGGATGGTTGACCCCTGGAAGCCGAGTCCGACCGATCCCCCGTTCCTCCCTCCTCCCTCCGCCTCCCTCCTACTGCACGGTTTCCCCCGGGGCCGTAGGGAGGAGGAGGAGAAGGAGGAGGAGGAGGAGGAGAACGAGGTGGAGGAGGAGGAGAAGGAGGAGGAGGAGGAGGAGGAGGAGGAGGAGGAGGAGGAGGAAAGGAGGAGGGGAGGGGGAGGAGGAGGAGGAAGAGGAGGAGAGGAGGAGGAGGAGGAGGAGGGAGGAGGAGAGGAGGATGCGGGGGATGGTGCGGAGGAGGAGGAGGAGGAGGAGGAGGAGGAGGAGGAGGAGGGAGGAGGAGGAGGAGGAGGAGGAGGAGCAGGGGGAGGAGGAGGAGGAGGAGCAGGGGGAGGAGGAGGAGGAGGAGGAGGTCCGCAGCCGGCTCAAGCCGTCGCCTGGGGGCGTCCCTTCCCCTGGGGTTTGGGCTCGAGACGCCAGGCACAAGGCCTGCACGCACCGCTCTCCGAGGGCCGCCAAAGGCCCACCAGCGGGAAGAATTTTTCTTCGCACCCTGCATAACGTACAGCCATGTCGTTCCACAGGGGCTGGCAGCAGGGAGCGGGCAAAGGTGCAGGAAAGGCCGCTGCGCAGCAGACGTACACGGGCAGCTGGCATCATGAGAACGGCGCCAAGTGGAAGTGTGCATGCGGGTGCGGCAAGAATCAGACAGAACGGGACTGGTGCAAACACTGCGGCACACAACGTTCGTCGGGAGAGGTCTTCTTGCCGCGAGAGGGCCAGCCTGGCGGTCCGTTGGGCCAAGGTGTGTATCCTCCTCCTGGTCTCCATCTCGTTCCTTGGCGTGCAGGGGCCCGAGGTCCTGGTGGCTGCGGCGGCGGCCAGGACCTCAAGAGCCTCTCCGACGCGGAGTTGCAGAGTTTGGAGCAGCTGGGCAGCAAGACGAACAACGGCCAGCTTGCCATTGCCTGTCAGCAAGAGCGAGTGCGGCGCTCACAGCCAGGACGTGCAGCACACGATGTGGCAGGTGAGGCGCGTGCCAAGTTGCAGTATGTGGAGAAGCAGCTGCTGGAGGCGACCGAGAAGTTCGAGCGCCTCACCCAGCAGCACGCGGAGCAGCAGCAGGTGGTCACGGACATGGTCGCCCAAGTCGAGTCGGCCAAGACCGAGTACCAGCAAGCGGTGTCCGCGCTGCACGCCAAGACCCTGGGCTCGCAGCAGCAGGTGCCGCCGCTGGCGTCCTCTGCGAAGCTATGCATTCGGGACATCCTGGACGGCAACATCCAGGACATCTTCGTCGACGACGAGAGTCTCTTTGGCTTGGGAGACGTGCAAGAGTTGGACGCTGCCGACAAGTCCCAGCTGGAGGAGCGGAAGCGGCTGCTGGCGGAGGGGCTCAAGTCGGTCACGGAGAACCTGTTCAGCTCGGTCAAAGAGAAGGCGGCGGCCCTGGTCCAGCAGCACCAGGAGCACTCTGAGCGCCTCAAGAAGAAGCGTAAAGGAGGAGATGTCGGCGGCCGCGGCGAGCAGAAGGGTATCGAGGGCGCGGCCGTGGAGAGGCAGGCGGCCGACGTCGGCGCCGCGGCGGCTGCTTCTCCGACTGAGGCGATCGCCCCAGACGCCCTGGCGCGGGCTAAGGCAGCTCTTGCGGCCACGGGCGAGAGCCCGTCGCGGGTTTGATCAGAGCCTGAGCCCAGCTGCCTGCAACCTGTCCCCCTGTCCTCCTCCTTCCTCCCCTCCTCCCAAGTTGCAGGCAGCTAAGCGCAGAAACGAGTGTGTGATAGAGACCGTAAACTCGTCGGGTTGGGGGCCTCTATGTCGATTTTTGGCGGCCGAGTCTCGGGCCGATGTCGTTTCAACTCAAGAGATCGGTCGAGCTCAGTTTCAGATTAAAGAAGCTGAATCTAGATTGGCGTCTCTAGGCTGGCAGTGCAGCCTGAGGCCCTCTGTTGTTACCCAGGACGGCGGGCTCTCGAGTGGTGTCGGTGTCGGATGTCGTCGTTCGTTCGGTATGAGCCTGCCGCCTGGGGCTAGCTACCCACGCCTCCCGAGCCCCCACAGGGTCCACATTTGTTGGGTGAATGCGTACGTCCCTGGGGGATTCCTAGCTGTTTCACTGTACCTTCCGACGGGGGGTATGGCCTTGGGGCCTGAGGGGTCTCAACTGTTAACCAGGCTTGGGGAACTTCTGCATGGGTGGAGATTGCCGTACGTCATAGGCGGAGACTGGAACTGTACCCCCCAAGCCCTTCGTGAGTGCGGGTGGGAATCTCGTCTTCGAGCTACGATATGTGCGCCTTCGCTTCCTACGTGCGGATGTGGTAAAGTCTGGAAGGTCCTTGACCATCTCTTGGTCTCGCCAGGTTTGGTCAACTCTGTCACCGCTGTCCGTCGTAGTCGAGTATCAACTCTGAAGCCGCATTGGGCCGTGCAGCTCGTGATGCGGCACAAGGTCGTGTTGCCAGGGGTGCCGCGCTTGATCAGCCCTAAGAGTTTCCCGCGGGACCGAGCCGAGCTCCCCTTCGGGCCGCCGACGGCGCCGTTGGACTGGGGCACGCTCGCGGCTCGCCTTGAAGAAGCGCCTGATGTTCACAGGCTCCAGTCGTGTTTCTCCGAGTTCTTGGGCCTTTACGGGGACGAAATGTGCAAGGTCTTCTGCCTGGACCAGGAGCTCGGGGACCAATACCGCGGCAAAGTCCAGGGTCCTAAAATCCAGACCGTTCCCGAGATTCTGACCACTGGGGGTCCGTATCCTGTGGGGTGTGCTCTGGCCAGGGGGTGGCGTTCCCTCCATATCTGGATCATGGAGCTGCATTATATTAGAGACAAGGGGGTGTCTTGGTTGGGGGTTGATACCCAGTGTATCATTAACAAGATCGTCCGAGGCCCTCCTACCCTTAGGAACTGCCAGGAGTGGATCTCCTGGCGGCCTTCTCGCGCGGTGCTGCAGGACGCCTCGGCTCAGGAGCTCTACCACTGGGCGATTGATGCTGGAGGTATCGCTGACAGGCTCGAGCGCGTGCAAGTCTCATCGCGCCAGTCGGCCTGGAGGAGCTGGGTCAAAGAAGCGGCTAAAAACGGTGGAGGGTTAGGACACCGCTACACCAAAGCTCCCACGGGATGGGTCCCTGCGAAGGCCCCGACTCCTGGCCTGGCTCCTCCTGGACCGCAGGAGGTTTTAGGTGATCTTACTTCGGAATGGGAGGGGATTTGGAATGCGCCTGGGGGGGATGTTCCTGATGAAGACCCACTCGAGGCTCTAAATGATCACATCGCCAGCCTTAGTGAAGAGGAATGTTGTGGCATGTTGGACTGGGAGTTCAACCCCGCCGCGATCCGAGCGTGCTCCAAGAAGTTTAAGACCAAGGCTGCCCTGGGCAGCGACAACGTCCACCCGAGGGATCTCCTTCTGGTCAACGACGACTGTTTACTCGCCCTGGCAAGTCTCTGGAAAGCTATTCTTCGGCTCGGTCACGTTCCCAATCAGATGAAGATCATCCGTGTGGCGATGATCGAAACACCTGATGGGGGTCACAGGCCTAT